GCTTGTGAATGAGAGCGCTGAAGGCCAGCCCGTCCCGCCAGCTGGTGGTGAAGTTCTGAATGTTAACCTCGGGGTAACTGAAAAGGAGGAGCAACCTCTTCTGAACCAGGGCGGTTTAAGACAGGGAGGGGGACCTTACTTTCCCCTCCGTGCCAGTAGGCAGCTGCAGGCCCCAGGGACCACCTGCCCACTGACAGGCTGCCTGCGCAGATCCAGGCAGGAGAGGACCCTTCCAAGGGGGGGCAAGCCTTTGCTCCCAGCACTGTCACCTCTCGGTTGTCAGCGCCGCCTGCACCCTGTTCAGCACTCACCCTGCCGTCTTCATCTGACACCAGAGCAAGAGGGCGTCCTTGGCCGAGCGCGTCTCTCGGCTGTCTTCTGTCTCAATTTTAATCACCTGGATCTGGGAGGGGAAGCAGGAGAGGGGGGGGGTCCTCCGTTTGCCAAAGCTCACCTGCGCTCAGCCCCCTCCCCAGCCCCGTTTTCATAGGTGCCATAGGTGCCTTCCCTGCCCTGCCCTAGAACCAGCCGGCTCCCCCCTTCTTTTGCCCGGGCTGCCCTTCCTTCCCCAAACTCTTTGTGACCTGCACAGAATACGGTTCTAGCTATTCCTGCTTCTGGGGAGCTGAGGGAAACAAGGCAGACTGGCCCAGCTGCCCAGGCACGGCCCCATCGGTGCCCCCTCTGGAAGGGTTGCCCTCTACCTGGAATCTCAGGATGACGGTCCAGATGAGGCCCAGAGTCAGGCGGTGGTTGCCGTCCACGATGTCATGAGAACCTACGTTCTCCAGGTGGACTCGCTGCTCCTTCAGAAACTGCAGGGCTTTGTCCACGTTTTCCAGGGAGTGGATCCGCATCCTCCCCCGGGTGGGTTTGGGCTGCCACGGAAGCCAATCAAAACATAACTGCTCCCATCAGGGCACAGTTTAAGCACATTCAGCATTGACAAGTAAAAACGGCAACCTTTAAAATTGCACAAATGCAATAAAATAAAAATACTCTATGTTTCTAAGTCACAGCAAAGGTAACACTGACAGGTAGTTCTTGACTTACGACCAATCATTTAATGACCATTCAAAGTTGCAACAGATTAGAAAAGAGTTACTTAGAACTCATCTTCAACGTCACAATCACATGGTCATATTTCCAGCGTTGGCAAACTAGCTTGCATTTACCACCGGTTGCAGAATTTGGTTAAGAGATTGACAACAAAACAGCCCTGCCTTCTGCCTTTACCAACCATCCTTCTCAACAGCCCCTCACAGCCAAGCAGAGAGCAAGTGTGGGGCAGGGAACATCCTGGCCAGACCCTCCCCCCTCCCTCCCTTCACTGACTTCCCTTTCGGGGCCCAGTCCCCCTTGGGCCCTGAGGCCTGAAGTTACCCAGCAAAAATCGAGGTGACTCCGACTGTCACAAAGTGCAGCCCCTTTACAGGAGTGACCAGCCCCTCTGCCCTAAGAGGCAACTGAAGAAGCTGAGAGACCCCCATACCAGCTGCTCCCCAGACAGAACTTCCAGCAGCTTGGTCAGCAGGTATCCATCCCTCAGGTCGGTATAAAGGTCGCCGATTCGGCAGGAGACCTGGCCCAGGTGGGAGTTGATCCACTTGGTGAAAGTCTTCTTCTGCACTGTGTCTCGCTCATCTGGCAACATTTGGGTGTTGGGGGGGGGTGTTAGGCTGATCTCTCACCCCGTAGAGAAGGCTCCCCTGCCCCCCAAGCGCTGTCCTCGGGGGAGGGTGGGGCTGAAGGCCATCCTGCAGCCCCAGGGAGTTTTACATTTTCATTGGCCTTCTGGGAAAGGGGCCCCAGCTGCAGCCCCCCCCCAGCCCCCCCTTGCCGGGGCCGGCGATTCCCCCCCCCCCCCACACACACACATTTCAGGGCTCAGCACCAGGCAGGCACACCTGCTGGCCTCCCCCATCCTCCCCCCTTAAGGAAGATCCTTCTGAAACAAACCCTCTTCCAGAGGGGAAGCATCCTCCCCCAGTCCATTAGTGCCCCTCCCCACGGACATCTCGTTTCCCGCCCAACAAGAGGAGCCCAGGTGGAAGGGAGGCCTACCCGCCAGGGCCTTGATCCGTGAGCATTCGAACAGCTTGACGGTGGCCGTGGCCTCCTCCCAAGGCCGTGGCTGGGGGGGGTCGGTGCCCTCCCATCGGGCATTGCTGAGTTGCTGCTGGGCCTCCTGGTTATCCAGCTGGACTGGTGCAACGTTTGCCATGTTGCTGCTCGCTTGGGAGCCCCATAAAGTGGCGACATGAATCCCTGAAGCTGCGCCAGCCATTTACATGCTGAGTTCAGAATTCCAAAGAAAGAATGAAACAGAAAATGGCAACTCTTTAAAGCGAGCACTTGTTGGGCATACCTGCTTTGCGATGCCTCCACCTGGCCCCAAAGACTGTGAGATGTCACCAACTGGGTGATTCTCTGGTGAGAATGTAGGGGGGCTGGCAGATGCGCCCCCCTTTTCAACCAGTCTCCGGTGTAGCCAGCTAGGCAAGGCTGAGAAAAGACACAATGCAAGAGCATGCAATTTGGTGCTTAGGCCTTTGCTGTCCCCTGGAGCAAATGAGAGGGTGGCACAGCTCATCTGCTTGAACTAGCCCCCCCTTTCCCTCGGGGTGCAACCTGGACACCCTCAAGGCAGCTAGACTGCCCTACTAGCTGGAGGTGTGTGTGTGTGTGTGTCCAAAATCTTCTGCATACAGAAGCCCCGCAGAAGCCACGACTTATCTCTTCTCCCCTAGGAACTTGCCTGGACCATTCAGAAGATTGGGAATCAGAAGTGCCTGCCACCCCCCCCCAAAAAAAAATCTGGGGCAGAAGCAGCTGCAGCTTAAATTATGGAGGGTGGGGGCTGGAACCTGAGTCAATGTAGGAAGAGAGTGGTGGAAGGACAAAGTCCGACCCCCAACAAAAGTCACCCTCTGTAGAGCATCAGGCATGGAATATATATTTATTTATTGCTTGGGAAGACGGGCTGAAAGGCAAATTATGCTGAGGGAATATCCTAAAAAGGTTAATGGTGGGGGGGTGAGAGTGGCTGAATTGCACCAGTGAAAAAGCCCTCGAGGAGGCTCACAGCATCAGGCCACAGCGACATGGTATGACAGAATAACCCCTCCCCCATATTTAAGGCAATGTGGCTCTCCACATCAGGTGGGTTTTCACAGAAGATTTCAGGAGCCTTGGGGTGCCTGGCCATCCCAAAGAGCCACTCAGAGAATGGGGCCATCAAGGAAGCCAGGCAAGTGAGCCCACCAGGGCCCGGGAAATGGCTGATGGCCGAGTATTGTGGATGAAGCAATTCCTTATGCCTTCTCTGATGGGACTCAGCATATGGGGCTGAGCACAAGGCACCTGCCCCCCTGCTCCAAGCCCCCAGGGCAGGTGAAGGCGCCACCCCTGTCCAGCAAGCCGCCTGATCCCCTGCAGGGGAGCAAGAGGTCCTCTCATCCCATTGTTGATGCCTATCATTTACGTATCCATCTGGACACCCCAAATACTTGCCATGTTTGGGAATCTGGAGCCCAAGGCTGCAAGGCCAAAGGAGAGGAACTGGGTCCCTGGCCTTGTTTGGCAAAAACGGGCTGAGCAAGGGAGGAGAGCAGGGCCTGGATGATACCCCCACCACTTCCTTCTATCCCGATGAGACCAGACACAGCCCAGGGTTCAGAAGACCCCTCCTCAGCCCTTCAGCAGCCTCCATGAGCTTGCAGGAGCGACCTTTCTGCTCCTCTCCCGCCCTGAAGAATAGGTCTGCCGCGGGGACGGCTGGCCCATCTGCCGGACTCTCGGCCTGCTCCCTCCCCTCCCGAGAGGCTTCCAGAGAACCGGCTCCGGCTCCCCCCCCCCCCCCCCCGGGGGCGCTCCGAGAACCCCCCCCCCGCCCCCCCCCCCTCCCGTTCTGGTCTTGTAATCAGAGGCCCGAGCGCAGCCGCCGCCTGGGCAACCTCACCTGAGCACCGGCGACTTGCGGGGCCTCATCCCTCCCCGCCGCCTGGCCGGCGGCAGCGACCGGGCGAGATGCTGCTGGCGGGCGCTCTTGTCAACGGGCGCCGGAGCAGAGCAGAGCCGCCCGGCGGTGCCGCTACGCCTGTCTCGGTATAGCCGTCCTGGCCGAGCAGCCAATCCAGGAGCGCCGCTTAGCCCCTCCCCGAATGCCGGAGAGCCCCCCTCCCGCAGCCGCCGCGCCCGCTACAAGGGGGGCTTCCTTTCTGCCGCCACTCAGCAGCTCCCGTGCTGCCGGAGAGATGCTCGGGCAGGTCTGCGGCAGCAGGCGGGGGCGAAGCGGGTCACCTTGCGCCCGTCCTTGGCCGCCGCCCGCCCGCCCGCCCGTTCGCCGGCTTCTCGGCGCGAGCAGCTGCTGCCGGTTGGAGCGCTGGGCGTAGATTGCCTGGGAAGAAAGGGCTGCGCGGCGGTGGCGGAAAGAACCGGAGCAACGCCCGGCAGCTGGGATGAGAAGGCGCGAGGGAGGCGCCGGCTGCTCTCGCCGGCAACGGAGCCGACCAGGCCAAATCGGAGGAAGCGCGATGGAGGGACCCGCATGGCTGACCAGGGCCGCCCGCTCGCGCGTTTGGGCAGGGAACGGAGAGCCGCGCGGGGACGGCTCGCCCGAAAGAACCACGGCGGAGCCGTGCAGCTTTTCTCTGCGGGCTGGGCTCCGGGTAAGGCTCCTCCTCTCCCTTTCCCGGGCCGGGCCGGGCAGCAATTCTCAGGGAGGGAAGCGCCCTCGACCGAGGAGGCTCAGACTGGATCCCGCGGCTTGCCCACCGCCTGCACCACTCCCGCCCCTTTCGAGACGGCCACCCGGGCGCTTCCCTCGGGCGCCCAGGGCCGGCGAGCGGCTCTTCCGAGAAGCGGGGGAGGGGAGGCAGGCGCGCCGGCGGAGGGGACGGGCTTCGGTTGTTCGTTCTGCTGCGACCCCGAGCGACCCCGCGGGGCTGGAGCCGCTGGCTGGAGGTCACGGGCGATCTGTCCAGCGGGGCAACCGAAGCGGCGAAGCTCCGCCTTCCGCTGGCCCTGCCTCCCCGGGCGGAGCTCCAGGCGGAAGGGCTTGCTTTGGGCCTGGGCCTGAGCGGCGAGAAGGCGACGGGCCGGGATGGAGGGAAGCTGCGCGCCCGAAGGCTCCGCTGCCGCAGCCTACAAGAAAATCGTCATCTTCGGCGCCACCGGCATGACGGGCCTGGCCACCCTGGCGCAAGCCCTGGAGGCGGGTGAGGCAGGGCAGGGGGCGTCGGCCTGGGCGGCAGAAGAAACGGGGGACCCGCGAAGCCCCCCCCCCCCCGCTTCCCCGGAGAAGCGCCGCAACGGCTGACAATTGCGGAAGGGGGCGAGTTCCTTGCACCCGGGGGCTGCGGTGTGGTGTTTGTTTGCGAAGCGGGGTTGGTCGAGATTCAAGGGTTCCGGATCAAGGGTGCCTTTCCCCGGTTGGCGCAGCACCCGCAAGCTATCCCATGGTGCTGGTGCTACCACCGAGACCATAAGCCATAGTGTGGTTTCGGGAAATGGCAAAGTTATGGGAGCTTCCCCAGACGCCCAGCACAAAGTATTCCCAAACCCACAGCAGGGCTTGGTTTAGCAGCCCTGAACCCAGAAGCAGGCCTGGTCTTGTTCCAGTGGGCTTGGCAGGCTGAAGTGGCGGGACTGGCTAGGCGCTTGGGACTCTATCAGAAGTCGCCTGGCGTTCCCCGCAGCTCTGTTGCCCTGTGCTGTGCCCTGATAAGGAGGAGAGCATGGGGCCAGCCCTGCAGGGACCTTATGGCTTCTTTGGGAGTTGAGCTAATCCTGGAGGCTGTTCTGCCTCCCCCCTTTTCTTCCAGCCAAGACAAAGGGGACCTATTGCTGGTGTTCCCCTTTTGCAAGACAAGGCAGGAGAGGGGTTGGGGCAAAGCTTGCTGCAATGGATGTTTTGGATAAGGATGTCCCCTGAGAAAAGGGGTCCCCAGGGCTCCTCCATTGCAGCCATAACTGTGGAGGGGCTGGGGGGGCTCTGGACAGGTCAACCCAGGTGGTGAGAGTTGGGGGATTGTAGGGTTAGGCCCAGCCCTTGGGCTTCTTCTGAGTTAGAAGGTTTCAACTGTCCTCTTCCTTGTGAAGACGCCACGAAAGGGGAAAGTCAAGGAAGCTTCAATCCCCTGGAGAGGAGACTACATTTAAGTGGGGCTAAGCTGCCTACAGGGGGTTGGTCCTATGCTTCCAGACTTGGCACAGAGGCCGGGGGGGGGGGGGGGTGCCAGAATTGCCCAAAGCAGGTTAATGTTCAAAGGAAAAACTCCACCACAAGGGAATTAGTGGGAACAGTCCATTTAAGGTTAGTAAGTGGCATAAAATGTCCTTCACTGGTAGGACATATAAAATAGTCCCTAAAGAAGACTGGTGTGGTTGAAGAAGGCTTTAAGAGGAGAATGATCTAAAAAAGAATGTTTTACCACACAAAAAATTGTAATACAAAAATTATGCCAGGCTAAAAGGTTTAGCATTTCCTCTGTAGCTTATTTGTTAGGTTGTGAATAACCCAAGAAGAAATATAAAGCATTTATTGCTGAACAACCCGAGGAGACAATTAGATGTTAAACGGAACATAAAGTGTTGCAGCAAGAGGACTGGGACAGGGAAAATCGGGCACCGAAATCTTCTCCTTCCTCCCTTTTGTCCGTAGAGGTGGCAGGAGCAGGAGGACAGGCGAGAGCGCTTGCCAGGAGGGTGGGGGCAGAAATTCCTCCTCTGAAGCCCCCCCTCATCGCCAAGCCATTCCGGCAGAGCCATTCCGAGGCTTCCTTTGCTGCTCCCTTCAAGAGCTTGAGGGGAGGATGCCTTGACCCAGGGGTGGGATTCAAAGATCCCAGCAGTTTGTTCGCTGCCCAGTTGCTGGGTGGGTGTGGCCATGGTGGACGTGGCCCACAGGTACTTCAGGGAGGGCCATTTTTCTCCTTCCCAAGGGTCTGGAAGCTTCTGTCGGGCCTCTGGGAAGGCAAAAACGGCCTCCCCCAGGCTCTGGAGGCCCTCTGGAAGCCGGAAACAGGCCCGTTTCCAGACTTCTGGAAGGCCTGTTTCCCCCCCACCCCCCCAAAAAACTCCACGTGGGCCCTGCACTTACCTGCATCAAAAATGGACTCCTGGGAGGGGTGGGGTGGGCGGGGCCAGCCGGTCAGTTCAAATAACAGTTCGGCAAGCCAGATGCAAATTTAACATCCAGTTTGCCCAATCCACCCGAACCGGTAGAATCCCAGCCCTGCCTTGACCAGCTGCTTTCTCTTCCCCCTTGCCAGGCTACCAGGTGACAGTGCTGGTACGGGATCCTGTCCGGCTGCCCCCTGAGCTCCAGCCAGCACAAGTGGTGGTGGGAGATGTGCTGAACCCGGCAGACGTTGATCGAGCAGTGAGGGGGCAGGACGCCGTGATCATCATCTTGGGCACCCGCAATGACCTCAGTAGGAGCAGTTGTACTTCCTCCCCAGCCTCTCCCTGTCCTGAGACTTTTGGCTCAGGTGCGTTTCTTTCTCCTCCTCTCAGGTCCCACCACCATGATGTCTGAAGGCACGCGGAACATTGTGGCCGCCATGAAGTCCTATGGCATCAGCAAAGTGGTGGTCTGCCTCTCAGGTAGGTGCCCCGTGGAAAGCCCGGAGGTCACATCCTCCTGCCTCCTGGACAGGATCTCCCACTGAGCGAGGGGTCAGAACCCCCCCCCCCCTTGCCACCTGTCTGTTGGCCCGGCTTTCCTTGGGGAGAAGAACTGCCTTGGGGGTCTCTGGGAGTCAAGAGCATGGAGGGATGGTTCCACTGGCCAGGCAGTTGGAGGTTGGGAGGGAATGAATGTCAGTGGGGTGCTGGCCCCACCTCTGCTCTTCTCTAGACCAAATAGGGGGCGGGGACTCACGGGGGCCCATGGGGTGTGCAGAGCTGCCTCGGATTCCCGTGGGGGGGCTGCCTTCCTTGGTCTCCACCGCCCTTTCCTTCTCACCATTCATCTTGAGGTGTTGAGGTTCCCAAGGCCCTTGAGTGCTCTCCTCCTCTCCCCGCAAACAGGGGAGCTGAGTTGACTCTGCCTGGGCTGCCCCCCAGAAGGGAAGACAACCTTCTGCAATCAGGGTTTTTTCTCGGGGGTGGTGGTGTTCTTGTAGCTTTCCTGATGTGGGATCTGGACAAGGTTCCTGCCAAAATGCAGCCAGTGACCGAAGACCACATCCGGATGCAGCAGATCCTGAAGGAGTCAGGCCTGGACTGTGTCTACGTCATGCCACCCCACATTGCAGGTGTGTCTTGGGCAGAGATCTGGGTAGTGGGGGAACAGTGGCCAGCAAGCAGTGGGTCAGTCTGGGTGCAGGAAGAGTTTGTGACTGTGGAGGTAGTCAGCAAAATCATGCAAAAAAAAACAAAACCCCAACAACAACCATTTTCTACCAGTGGAGTAACCCAGAAACCCGCTAAGGTAGAAATGTGCCCCATTTCCAGTGCTAAACTAAGAGTGAGCTGGGTCTGCTTGTCCCAAGGTAAATGCCACCCCATGACTGGATTGGTTTCCATTGAGTTGTGTGATAGAACTACCATTGTGGTTTATTCCAGAAACCAGGAAGAAGCCAGCTGGGGCTGAGCCAGGTGTTAGGGCTGCCTGGCTGACCCCGTTGGACTTTGCATGCAGCTTCTAGCAATGGGTGTTCTTCCTTCTGCAGGTGACCAGCCCCTCACCGGCGACTACACCGTCACTGTGAACACTTCGAGTGGTTCCCGAGTCATCTCAAAGCATGACCTGGGGCACTTCTTTCTCAAGTGCCTGACCACATCTGAGTACAATGGGAAAAATGTCTACCTCTCCAGGCATTATTCCAAGGAATGACACCCTCCCCTCCTCAGAAGGCTGGAAATCGCTGCTTCAGATGCATACCCCCCCCCCCCCCCCCCCCTCCCCGCCCCACCGCCCCCCCCCCCCCCCCCACACAGGCCGGGGGGGCCCCCCCCCCCCCCCCCCCGGCTGCGCACAGTCCCTGTACGCCAAGGTGCCCCTGAATCCAAACATAGCTGGGTGGGCTCTGGGCCGGTGGTCTGCAGCTTCCTTCCCATGGCAGAAAGGGCTCTTTGGGCAGCCAAGAATTTTGCTATACTGAGGAAAGCCCTGGCGCTTGAACAGATGGTAGAACTATAGAACAGATGATTTAGGTCTCCTGCTGGAGCAGGAGATTGAATTAGAAGACCTCAAAAACTCCCTTCCAACTCTATGATTCTGTTCTAAGTTGAAGGCAGCAGCCACGCCCCTTCTGTCAGTAGAGAGGAGGTGGGATGCAGAGGCCACCTGGACAATGAGGTATCCAGCTATCAACAAACCCATCAGAAGTAGTAAAAGGTTGGATGACAAGGAACTGAATTTCCCCAGGTTAATGTTAACCTTCCTCCTGTGTTGCTGAGAAATCTTAATTCATGTTGATGCTTGCAAAGTTCTGTGCAACTTGAAAGCACAAAAAGCGTAAGCAGCTATTGAAATAAATGCTAAACTATTTGGATGGTAATGTGATTCCTGGGACCTAACGAAGAACTGCCTTGGAAGGAATTTTCCGTAATTTCTTGTGCTGAACCCTTCATTCTTTGTGTTGTGGTTAAAAGGCAAAAGAGGGGTTCTTGTTCCCTCCTGGTGGCCCTAAAGAGGGATTACAGATCAGGTCTGCTTTGGGGGGGGGGCTGCACCCTGCCTGGCCGTTTTTTGCACCTGCACGGGACAAAGAAATGTCAAGGGAATGAACACGGATGGGCATTTAGTGGCCACACTGGAGGTCTGGGGCAATAACTCAGCTGCTTTTCATGAAGGGAAACATGAAAAACCAGGATTTCATGAATAGTAAAATAGGAGATTGAGCTAAGGTTCAATTAAAAATAGTCATGACTATGATTTCTTGCATAAGCCATGATTAGATCCTATAACACAACAGCCAGTTTGGTGCAGCGATGAACGTGCTGGACTGGAAAGGGGGAGATGTGAGTTCTAATCCTCCCTTTTGGCCTTGATTCTGGGCCGGTCCTGCTCTCTTGGCCAGCCCACCTCACAGGGTTGTTGTGATGAGGAAAAAAGGCACGAGCTTTAGGTGTCTTCACTGCCTTCAGTTGACCAAATATTTCAAAAAGTGGGCGTGCTTTTGAAACTTCCCCTGACTCTTCTTCCGAAGTTCTCCGTCCTGCGCCGGGGATCCGCCGGCCCCTCTCGCCGCCTCCAGGCTCGCAACTGGCCCGTCTTCAGACGCCTGCGAGCGCCGCCTCTGGGGGTCGCCCTTGCTCCGCGGCAGCGCCTCCTACCGGGCAGGTTCCGGACCCGCTCCCCTGCCTAGCCAATGAGCATACGGGGCGTGGCCTCGGTTTGTTCGGTCAGGCCCGCTTCCTTTCCTTGCGCCCGCCCGCTGCATGGAGATGAGGCGTTCGTGCGAGCGCTCCCATTGGTCGCGATTGGCTCTACGCGCCGGCTTCCAGAGCTCGCTCATTGGCCTCCGAGCACCCGGGTAGGTGATTGAAGGCGGGGCGCGGGGATCGCGCGGCCCGTGGGCTCCTCCGGCGGGGAGGCCCCCTCACCGCTCGCCCGCCCAGGAGGGGACTTCCCCGCCTGCGCGCTTCTCCTTTCGGGCCGGCGGCGCCACGGAGCCGGAGGGACGCCAGGAAGGAAGCGCTTGCTCGGTCCCGCTCCAGAAGCTCCGTCATGGAGATGAGGCGGCCAGGGAGGGTCGCAGCCGCTCGCCTCGCCCGGCCTCCCTGCGTGGCCAAGCAAGGAGCGGAGGGAGCGAAGCCCCGGAAGCAAGCAGCCTGGCTGGTTCTCTTGGGGGAGGGTCCGCGCTTCTGCAGCCCTGGAGAGGCCCCTGAAGTCGCGGCTCTGCCCGCTCTCCGTCCTCCTTGGCAGGACCGGCCCAGGGCCGAGCTGGTCCACCGGACCCCCTGCCTGGGGCCGCCACCTCTGAGGGCTTCCCTTCTGCTCCTTTCCAGAAAGCGGCTGCTGAAAGCCATGAAGCAAAAGTGGACCGAAGAGGAGGAAGCCCAACCTGCTGCAGCAGCGCCCTCTTCAGCCTTTCCGTCTCCAAGCTCCGTTGAGCCCAACCTCCGTCACCTGGTGCTGGTGGCCAACACGCTCCGTGGCTTCCAGGGGGAGATGCAGCCAGGGCCTCTTCTCCAGGCTGCTTTAGGCTAGGAGGACCCTTCTGAGGGCAGCTCGATGCCCAGTGCCCTGACCTGCAGCCGGTCAGAGCCCAGCTGGAGGCTGATGTCACCCCCTTCCCTCTCCCCGCCCCTGGGCGACCTCCTCCTTTCCGATGCGGATTCCTCTGCCTTCCGGGCCTTTGGTATTGGTCAGCCCAAAGAGCACCCCTCCCCCCTGTCTTTGTTCAGCCCTGAGGCTGGATGGATTCCCCATGCCTGCCCTTCTAGCACTCTGGAGCTTATGAGCCCAGGTGGCTACCTTCTGGAAGATAGCCTGGAGGGGGTCTTGGAGGACATGGGCACCTCCATGTTTGACTGCGATCTGTGGTTGCCCACCAGCCTCCCCTACTTTAAGGAGGCCTTCTGCTCACCAGGGGATCAGGTGCCAGATGTGGCAGGCTGTCTTGGCTGTCCCATGGCTGTGCTTGTGGGAGTGCAGGAACTACGAGGACCCTGTCACAGAAACTTGTGGTCCCTGGTTGCCTGCTGGAAATGGGAGCTGACCATCTCAGGGAACGAAGTCTTCATTGCATCTTCCCAACTCCTCACACGGCTGGCTCCCTCTCTGGAAGCTTTCTCAAAAGACAAGTGACCAACCTAGCCTATGGCAGTGGCCTAAAGAGGCTCTTCTGGAGCTCAGCCGGGGACTTTATTTACACAAAGGGCTTGATCTGTCTCCGTTGGAGGGAAGGGACCTGCCAGGACTTTGATTTCGGGATCCAGAATGCCTGCTTTTGAGAGAGAGACTTTACCGAGTCTTCTCCAGAACAGCACCTCTGGTTTTCCTCTCCTGGTGAACCCTCCAGATCTGCCTGGGTGGGGGAGCTTCACCAGGCTGGTCTCCTTATGGGAGTAGAGAGGGAGCGATTCCCACAAGTTGGGCAGTCAAGAGGGTCATTTATTATATGAGCATCAAGTATTTAAAAAAGTGAAAAAGCTGCATCCTGTTAAATTGCTTTAAAGAATTCAACACTTTCATGTTGGAATTGCAAGTGTTCTGTGTATCTGAGAAGGAAGGACAGGAAGAGGGTCTTTGCAGGGACTTCTCCTTTCCTGCCCCCAGACCAAGCACACCCCCAACTGCTGCTTTCCCCTCTTGGCTTGATTCACCCACTGCAAAGCTGGAGACTCTTCCCCAGCAGCCCTGGCTGGCACAGGCCTTCTTTCTTCAGTGGGCAGCAGATTGGTTCACAGGCCCTGCTGGCTGGCCCACCGCCTGCCTTACAGCCCCTCTGAATCTGGCTTAGCATTTCAACTCCAGCCTCCTCTGCGCTGCTGGAGGAATTGGAGGAGTGCAGGGTTGTGCATGTTTCTGTTACTCCCAAAGGAAACTGAATTCTTCTAAGTGAATCGGACATTACTGTTGCCATCATTTGACACGGGCATCTACTTATCTGTTTTCACCGACAAGGACAAACATTTAAAAGCAGAATCAGAATTAAAAGACAGATTAAAAATACAATAAGTACAAAACCTGCCAGGGTAAAGAGGTGTATTTGGATTCCCTGAATGTCTTTGCGGAGAGCGAGGGGTGCCCAGGCCTTCCCCGGGGACGTTTTTCTGGTCCCTTCTCTCGCCTGGTCGCTTCTTCCGCCTGGCAGATCGTGAATCGCGCCGCCCTCCCCGCTCGACGGGCCTTTTGTGCCGGAGGGAGGGTCGGAAGGGCGCTTCGGTCGCACCGTCTCTCTCTGGGCGGGGCTGCCTCGGAGCAGGCTCGACGCCGCCCAGACCCTGCCTGGCCCCGCCGCGGCCGCCTTGGACGCCCACGGGATGGAGGGTCGGTCAGAGCCGCCCCCTTCCTGCTGGACCGCGCCCGGAGCGCGCCAGCCAGAGCTTTGCGGAGCGGAGCGCACGAACTGGCTCGGGTAAGTCCTAGGGAGCCGGCTATTCGCGCCTTGCCCTGTTCCCTAACCGGCGGCTTCTCTCGGGACAGACCGGAGCGGTTCGCCCTGCAGAACCGCGCTGGTCTCGTGCGAGGATAGAAGAGCTTCGGCGTCCTTGGCCCCTTCCAAGCCTGGCTTGCTGGACGCGGCCGAGCGCGGAAGGTAAGGGGCGCCGCCTGGGGCGAGGCTCGACTCGCCGCTTTTTCCGAGCCTCCGCGCTCTTCCCGACCCGGCCACAGGAGAAGGCGACGCACCGTCAACTTCTCCCGGTTGGTCCGACAGCCCCCTCCCCTCCGATATCTACGAGAGAATTTTGGATGCCCCGCTGCCCAGGGAAAACCAACGCCGGGGGGATCGAGGGGGGGAGGGGATCAAGGGACTTTGCTGAGTTGGCCCAACTCCAGCCTGGAGCCCGGCGGCTTTTTCTCCTTCCAAATTTGCAAAATGTCCCCGGAACCGCCGGTTCCAGCGTCAGGTGCCAGGCGGCTTTTTCGACCTTTGATTGATACCTTTCCTTTTTCCATCTTTTGCTTAATTGGGGCAGCAGTTCTGGTCTGCAGAATCCAAACGAGCACCAAATGGCAGCCAAGGTTGTGGTTCTGTGCACTCTCCTGGTTGGAGTGACAATCTCAGGGCCCCTGGCAGCAGCTGGGACAGGATGGTCAGGCCTGCTCCTGGTTGGGCTGCCCCAGGTTTTGGCCTCTGGCTATGCTCACCTGTGGGCCCCTGGGCTCTGCTTCCCTAGGCTCCCAGGAGTTGCAAAAGAGTCCAGGTGGCTTGAGACACCCCCCTTCCCAGAGATGGCAGCGTAGCTCCTAAGTGAGCACAAATGGCTTTTCCTGTTTGAGTGGATCATGAACTCTGGAACCCCAGGAAAGCTTTTAGCAAGTAAGAATTGGTGTTCCAACTCAGGAAGGGAGTCGGTTCCTTTCCTGAGAGCTGCTGAGACCTTGGGGAAGCCCACTTGGCCTGGGCAAGGCCCTTGCCAGGGCTTCCCCTACCTGGACCTGGGCAGCCCAGGGCCTGGAATGTGCTGGGAGGTCATCCAGGAGACAATGGGAGGAAAGGTCTTGGCACTATTCGGCCTGGAAATAAAGCTGCCAGGATGTTTGCTGTCTGGTTCGGGGGAGGGAGGGAGGGAAAAAATGGAGAGGACAAGACAGGGGTCTCAGATGGGGGCAGAGGGCAGGGCTCGTGGCAGATGACCAGAACTGAGATAAGGAGGGAGGGACCAGACGGGCAGGAGGGCTGCAGCCGGAGGGGCCCAGGGGCTTTTAGCTGTCGTCCTTTGGTCCAGAGTGGGAGAGGGTAAAGCCTCCCAGTGCTGGGCCTGACTTCGCCCAGCTCTTGTCCTGCTGCTGGGCCTGTCATTGGAGGCCCCCCCTGGAGCCCGAGGGCTTTGGCTTTCTCAGCTCAGTCTAAACAGGACTCCTTTCAGGCCAGGGGTCGAGGGCTGACCCAACCCGGGCGCTTGCTCAAGCTGCCTCTCCAGAACGTGTGGCGCCTGCTCCCCCAACCTGCTTTCCTGGGAAGGGGAAGAGGCGGCTTCTTAAACCAGGACCATCCTTGGAGGAGGAGCCACTTGACTGGACCCAGACCCAGAATTAGCCACAGGATGCTAGGGCGGAAGCCTCCTTCCTCTTGAGCTGAATGCTCTAGGCGCAGCCAGCGTGTCCCTTGAAGGCAGGAAGGAGAGAGAAGTTGGCCCAGAGTCCCAACCCTCCATACCGGCCATCTCTCCTGGAGGAGGGGGAAAAAGTTCTCTTTCCTTGGCTTCATTTTTGCTCCTCTTGACCCCTGAGGTGAGAGATGACTCCAATGTCACCATTTGGTTCTGCTCTTGGTTTCCATAGTTCGAAAGTCCTGCTCAGCCCCACCCGCTGGTGTAACCCCTCCTGTGCTCACTCCCCCAGTTTGGCTTGACTGGAGTTTGACCTGCTCTCCCAAAGCCAAACCTCTTCCTCGCACCTGCCAGATCTCACCGCCTGGCCAGGGCAAGGCTGCTTTCAAGGGGCAGGTGAACGAGGCAGGGTGGGCAGCCAGCACAAATGCACAACAGGCAAGCAAGGCCAGATTGTGGTGCCTGCGCCTGAAGTGCACCTGGGCTGCTCATCCGCAGGAAGGAGGCCGAGACACTTTCCTGAGATCTCTGTGCTGGGTTAACTGCAGCCTCGGCCCCCGTTCTGCCCTGCACCCCCTCCCGAGTTTTGCTGAGACTACAGAATACCTGACATTCTCCCCAACCTTCCAGCTGCTCAGCCATGAGTGAAGGGGGAGGGACTGAACAAGTCCCCCCCCCCACCGATTCTCTTGCTCCCAAGTGGGAGCGGCTCTCTCTGCCCGCTGCTTCTTCCACTCAAACTATGGGAGCTCCAAGTCCTGTCAGTGTCTCCCTCCGGCTGGCCCAGGGACCAAGGACTTCTTCCATCAGGCCCAGCCTGGCATCTCCTTGGGTCCGCTTTTAATTTGCTACCCCTGCTTGGGGAACCTTGGCTTCCAGCCCTGGACTGTCAGCTACAGCATGTAGAAGGGACTTACTGTGCCGTTGCCAAAGAGGCAACTTGGACTCCTGCTGAAACAGGCCTCTGACGGCTGCGTGCTGGCTTCCAAAGAAGCACGGGGCACTGCCCTCATCTCCAGGGGCTTCCCACCAGGCCAGGTGCCTGTCCAGAGCCAGTGGACTGAAGACGCTCCTGGCTGTATGCTGCATCCTTTCCCCTCTTGCCACGGGTCCCCTTCGTCCTCCCAGGCTGGCCCCCCGAGTTGCCCCATGGGCAGACTGCACAGGCAAGCAGGGAGAGGCAGAGCCCGGCTCTCTTGACCCTCTGCTTGGTCAGAAGAGGGGGGCCGCTCGGACTGCGCCTGGGCCCTGCTCCTGCTCAGGGGCCGCCATCCCTAGTGGACTCTGAAGAGGCGTGGAGGAATTCTCCTTGGAATGCTGGCAATGGCAGAGGCCTGGCTGGGACTCAGCACCCCTTTGTCTTTCCGGGCAGGGAATGCCTGGCATGGAGCCCTGACCTTTTGGGGAATGGAGTGGCGTGGGCCCCAGTGTCCAGTGTGGGAATGAAATGCCCTGCCCAAACAGCAGAATGGGTCCCACCAGGACTGGGCTGGAAGGCAAGAAAGGAGCTGATGATGATGCGGGGGGGGGGGGGGGCCCCCAAAGGCGTCCATGGGACAGAAACTGCCTCTCTTTTCCAGAGGCCCTGGGGCGGCTGGCCTTCCCATGGGCTCCCCCTGCCCAGATGAAAGGCATAACAAGCGGTCTTAATACATAGGTGCCTCCCGCCCCAGGCTGCTGCTAAATTTAAAAATAACTGAGAATTGTTATTAGTATTTGTATACTTCCCAATGTCTCTGGATGGTACATAAACTTAAATAACAATAAAAAATAACATCTAAAATAAGTGCCCATAGTTTGCACCAGGAATAGCAATAGCACTGTAACAATAGCACTTAAGCGTAGATACCGCTTCTCAGTGCTTTACAGCCCTCTTTGGGCTGTTTACAAATGTCAGCATTTTGCCCCAACAATCTGGGTCCTCCTTCTACTGACCTTGGAAGGATGGAAGGCTGAGCCAACTTCAAGCCCTGTCAGGATCGAACTCCAGGCTGTGGGCAGAGTTTGCCTGCAAGGAGAGTGCCATTGCACCCAAAGGGACCCTGAGAACCTGTGTTGTGGCCAGTTTCAAGCAGAGCAGCCCCCAACCCAGGGCTGACCAGCAGGAAAGGAAGGCCAAGTCCCACGGAGGGTTTTCTTTCTGCGTCTCTGTCGCCAGCAACTCCCCAGGAGCTCAGACCGGGGGGGGGGGGGGGGGGGCTTTGCTATTGCCCGGTCTCAGGCTACAGCCACAGGTCAGGCAGCTTGATGTATCCTGCAGAGTTGCCTGAATTGTGAGATTGGTGGCAAATAAATTTGAAAAATAAATTTGATGAAAGAAAGGAGAGGGAGAGAGCACCAACTGCTGCCTTCCCCTCCTCAAGGAAAGGGGGAATTACCCCTGGGCTGAGTCTCACGGGAGGCTTCGGGGTCCAGGTTTGCTGTGTCTCTGAAGAGCCCTACCCACTTCTCAGATGGCAACGGAGGTCTCACTCAGGCCTGGAAAGCTGCCCAGCAACCAGGGCCCTTTTGGAAAACTGGTTCCGGGGTGGATCCCTGCCAGACACACTGGCTGAATGGGACCTGCTGCCCCCCTTTTAAATCTGCCTCTCAGCAGTCCTGCCCCCCCCCCACCGCCTGCTTCCCTCCTTCCCTTCCCACCTGGGCAGGAACTCTGTGGCTGGCAGATGCCTTTGGAGTCTTTCTAAGCAAAGGAATCTTGGACGGGGTTTGCTCTGCCTGCCCACCTGTCCAAAACCAGAACAGAACAAGGCCACGTTGAGGGTGGGGGCAGAAGCCGACCAGGGAAAGGACAGGCTGCATTCAGCTGTGGGGAGCATTACTGACAGCAGCAGTTGTGCAGGGGCTCTGAATGTGGCCACCGGTATCTGCCCCCTTCCTGGCTGATGGGAGCTGGACCTGGGCTTCCTGGAGGGGCACAAGGAGTCACAGCAGCCCGGTATTCAGCTTCCTTGCGGCCGGCCTTCCTGCCCAGGGAAGCTCCTTTGCCTCTGGGCTTCGGGTGCCCTTCCGTACCCCCCCCCCAGCAAAGTCCGAGACGTTTTCCTCCTCCTGGAAAAACGGCCAAGGCTGGACTGGACTGGGGCGAGTAGGTGCCTGCAGGAGGGCGAGGAGCATACTCCATGACTACCCACCTGCAACTGAGGGGGAGAAGGTTTGAGCTCCTCCCTCCAGTCATGCTTTTGCTCCCTGTTCCTAAGTGGGGGGGGGCAGAGGGATGTGCTGCCTGCTACACTCCTGGGCCCACACTGAAGGCCTTGGGGGAGGGGATTTGTTCCAAGGGGGTCTCTCATGCAGGTGAAGGAGGCGGGGGGGGGGGGGGGGGGCCCGGACTCCCTTGGGGCGATTCTTGAAGCTCAAGCATCATTGTTCTAGTGGAGGG